TCCAAATACAAATTTGTCCAATTTTACGTGTCTTCTGGTCGATTTTGGTAAAGTGTTGTGTTCATCTGCCAAAGAGCTCCAGCAAAACTCAAATGCTTCTTCAAGAGAAGACTATATTCCACAAATATTGACTGTTTTGTTAGAGATTCTTCGCGTTTACATTTGACCTTTGTGGCCTTTTGTCTTTTGTCTGTCATTCGTAAACAATAACTAAAACAAAGTAACTACTCCGTCGACCAATCAGCGCTTCTGACTGGATTTCGGACAGATTTTACGTCATCAGTATGGAATTTCTGTCGCTGAGTCGCAGACGTTCCTCCGCGCGAAAGGTCGCCATCGGCGAAGAGCGAGGAGAAACGGATGTTTTCGCAGGCTATAGTTATGACCACTTCTTCGAGTTCCCGAGTTTGTTTCTTACGAACGATTCGACTGCATATCATAAATTATTCTTTGCCATCTATTAAAGGAATTGTGCTTTGTTTTTTTGCTAATCTTTTCCCCAATGCATGTAAATATAATACATGTACAGTTGTTTAGATCGCTTTCTGTCAGGTGGTCAGCAGCTTTGCAAATTGCTTGGAATAAAAGAAAGTTTTAACATGTGAAAAGAGTTCAATTCTCACAGGATTTTTTTTGTACACAAACATGGCCGCCGATCCATTGTTTTGTTCACAAAAATGGCCGCCGTGACGCCATGTGAAAACGATCTGTTATGATACAGAATTGTATAGGACATTACGGGGACCTGAAAGGTGAAATTATCTGTAGCGATCTCCAAAGTTTGGTCTAAAAATAAGCGACGGGGGCCGCCCGCCTGGCCCCTTCCCTGGATCCGCCACTGAGGTGTACAATACCAGATAGCTTTTTTCGGCGGCACCAAAGCCATCCAGTTTAGTGTGAGCATGAGCATGGCCCAAATCTGGTTAGTTTTTGATTTGCAATTAAAATGAGTCGGCATTCGCCTGAGAGAAAGAAGATCTCTCAACCGGAACTAAATTCTCCTGACTCGCTCGCAAATGCAATCGCCATCAATCCTTGGCACTGATATATACTAATACTTTTCGAGGAAATTGGCGTTAGGTTAAAACGGCTAAAGTGGACCAAGCAAACTGAACTCCGCGGAAGAACTAGAAAGCTTCATCAAGCAGTACAGAGGTATGTACTTTCAACTTTCAACTTTCAACTTTATTCAGTCATTCACACATATAATTTACAACATTCATGATAGCTTCCACCCGCGTATAGAAGAGCGTAATCGAGGCGAGGGAAGGGACACAAATTTAAAGAAAGGAAAGGAAAAATCTACCGGTTGTGCTCTTTTTACATTCCAAGTAAATATTCTTTGTAATTTTTTTAACAGGCCAAAACGAAATGCCAGACAGGGAAAATGGAGCGATATTATGGGCTCTGATATTGACAAAATTGCTTGGATGTTTCAGAAAGCTATTTGACTGACCGGTTAACGAGTATTCTCCTTATTTGGAGGGGAAATCTTCAACCTTTCAATAGGGGATTTCCAGGAATTTTGGCGTAATGGAAGGTTTTACTAGGTTTGAGAAAAAGAAAAAAAAAACAACAACAAACAAAGACGCTTCGCGTTGATGAATGCGTATTGATAGATCAGCAAGAAGGCCTGTCCTAAGAAAATGCTGATGAAATTGTCTCGAAATGCGTGGCGAAAAGACAAAATTTTGTCAATTTACAAATACTGAGAGCGCTCATAAGACGGGCTTGCGTTTTATTGCTTCAGTAAGGCCCATAATGTACGAACGCCTTCTCTTTCAGCTTGGGGGCGGGCGGGAGGCGTGTCAAGTTCAAGTTTTGTTTCAAACCTTTTCTGTGGGAAAATATGATTTTTTCGTGTACCGAACTACCGATTTAGTTCTACCCAAATGATATAAGTTCCACGGTTGATTCAGACGTCGAACTTTATTAGTCGGACTCAATTCATTTTCACGATGTTTAATGGTCTGAAATGATTGCAAGTGCAAAAAAATTTTAGTAATTTATGCATTAGGTACGGCACTTGAGAAGTTGAACTTTTGAAACGAAGTCGCTCGACAGTCGAAATTCCCATTTTGGCCATTCGATCTCAATTCACGGGTCGACCTAAATTAGACATGTCGGACTTAATTGATTCAAACGTACGTCGACCTTTTCATGTACTTAATTAAAGGGATTAGGTTCGGTACATGAAAAAATGGACGTTTGAACTGGGCCTGAGCGAAACAAAAATAAAGGCCGACTTGCGAGCTATTCAGACAAGGAAAACTTTTGAAGACGTCCTTCTATGTCCTTGAAATTCAATTATAAATAAAAGTACTACTTTGTCTCTCGTCATTTTGAATTTTAGATCAAAATTTTAGATCAAAAGTTTATTTAGAACCTCAGTATTCAAATGGTTAGGAGACTAAGCAGTTTTCTTGCTTGATTGTTTTAAATCAAAACTCATTTTGCGGCCTTAGGTTTGGTACTTGCAAATGTATTTATTACCTTCCGTTCCTACAAAACCTTGCACTTTTGACGTCATGTATCGTAGTCATAGCAACTGACTGCCACCAAATTTTATCAGAACTTGTCCAGGATGAGACACTATTAGAGAGAAGTGACTTAAAAATTTCGATTAAATATACTTAGATAAATATATATAAATTCTCAATCATAAAAAATAATAATAGTGAGAATAATAATAATAATAATAATAATAATAATAATAATAATTATTATTATTATTATTATACTAAAATTTTTAATACAGTTGCGCCTTCATGTGCGACTACATCTGGTAAGCGAGCACTTTCCATAAACGACAACTTAGACAAAAACCCAAATATTTTCCTGCAAAGCCTTATATAGTTGGAACCTCTAGTAAACGACTACCTCTCGTATACGACTGCGACCACTTTTTAGGGTGAGGATGAATTTTCCATTGTTTTTAACCTCTTTAAAGCGACTACCTGATTACAACGGTCTGATCTCTGTGTTCGCAGTATGTACTACGCTACCTAGCTACTCGAAGATTGTGAAGAACTTTTAGAAATAACTTGGATCTGTACAAATATTGCAACCTAGATGATGTATACAATTCATTCTCCTCCGCACTTCTCCCTCTATGGGGGTGATAATTTGGAACAGCAATCATCTTGAGGAGGTCTCTTTAAATAGCATCTAAAAGCCGATGGAAGCAGCTTGAGCATGAGTTATGGATACGAAAACTGCTGATAAAGTTATCGTGAATGAATGTAATAATACACAACAATATTGGATGAGTCTGAGTATGACCGAAGGAACTATAGAGATTGAGGAGAATGAAAATAATAATTCCTATTTCAAATCAAACTAAAACATGCTTACCTCGATCGATGTTAAGTTTCCATCTTCAATAGACAATTGATTTACGATGCTCGCCATCTTTGCACGCGCTTCAGGGGTAGACCATTTAACTTTTCAAAAGGGGTATGAGTAAATTCAGAAAAAACATATCCTGCAGACTGATTTCGAGGAAAAAAAAAATGCCAAGGAAATACCTGATATACAATGGCGTTGTATGTAAGCTTAAGCTTTTTATATACGTTATTTTTACACTCATCGTTTTGCCATCTCTGCCCGCAAATAACAGAAGCTAGACGAGGCGGGCGGAAGGGGAAAGGTTACAGCAGTCATAAATATTAAATTAAAAGAAGCTATGAAGATTAAAGTAAACTAAATAAACTATTCGGATAAATAAAAATTAAAACAAGCAAGCTAGAATTACAAAATAGTCTTACCGAATGGAATTACACGACAAGTTTACTAAAGAACCTATCAATTATTAGTGCATTAAGTCGTTGCTACAGATTTTGCGATTTTTAATCGCAGAATGGGCACTTAAACATAATCATTCTCCGTTTCCATTATCGAGAGCAATAAAACATTGAAATGTTTTTTGAAAGCTCAGGGAAAACATTCTATCACCAGAGGTTTTTGCAAAATATTCTCACCCAAACCAAATCACCCAGTCCTCCCTCCCTCAAAAGCCCCTTAGGATCGATGGGATAAAAGCAATGTCACGTGATATTGTAGGGGGCAACTGAAGTGATAAAATTTGCTAGTACCAGTACTCGCGGTCGTTTTTTTTTGTTCGACGCACGTCAACCGGGCGGAAGTGGCCTTTTTACATTCCTGGGCACTGGTTTTTCCAAAACTTTCAGTTAAATCGTCTCTAGGTTTACTTGTCCTCCGACCATCCATTTCAAAGTGCGACAGCTTATTTTATTACAAAGTGCGATGGTCTGTTATTACAAAGTGCGACAACTGTTCTGACAAAGTGCGATAGGTATTACAAAGTGTACTGTCGCACTTTGTAATAAACGTCGCACTTTGTAATAAAATTGTCACACTTTGTAATACCTGTCGCACTTTGTAATCACACTTGTCGCACTTTGTAATAAATGAAAATGAAATTCCAATACGAACTCCCATTTTAAATGACTCTCCCTGTCATAGGCGAAAACAACTTTCTCTCTATCGAAGTCGTCCGCATATAAAGAGTTGTACTTCCTTAGAAAGATCTTGAAGCCAGAAGTTGATGTGAACACTTATTATTATTATTGTCGTTGTTGTTGTTGTCGATGATGACGCTTATTACTGGGTTTACTTGTCCTCCGACCATCTATTTCAAGTTTATTACAAAGTGCGACAAGTGTTATTACAAAGTGCGACAGCTTTTTTTATTACAAAGTGCGATGGTCTGTTATTACAAAGTGCGACAGCTTTTTTATTACAAAGTGCGACCAGTGTTATTACAAAGTGCGAAAGGTATTACAAAGTGTGACAATTTTATTACAAAGTGCGACGATTATTACAAACTGCGACAGTACACATGTAAGTGCGACAGGACGCTCAGGCAAAAAATGGGTTGAATGGGAAATTCCACTGTTCGTTAAACTAGCATTATGGATCAGTGCATAACTAATTAGCCGTAACTTTGCTTTCTTTAGTTTTGTAGGTGAACACTGAAGATGAGAACAGTCTTCGTAGTTTTGACACTTTTTTCTTCTCTTCTTGGAATCATTGGGGTTCTTTTCAACTTTCTCGTTTGCCTTGTCTACTTCACAAACACAAGGCTCTTAGATGCTCCCAATCTCTTCATCCTAAACATCACCCTTGGCGACCTACTGTACTCATTGGTCGCCTGTCCAATGCTGGCAGCATCAAACGCCAGAGGCGAATGGCTATTCGGAGACGCAGGTTGCACTGCGTCTGGTTTCATCGCAACGTTTTTCGCTCTTGGAGCAATGATGAACCTGGTCGGTGCCGCATACGAACGTTACACCACAATCTGTAAGCTATTTGACGATGGCGAAGTTCAGTTTAGTCGAAAAAAAGCTTTGCTTCTTTCCGGGTTTTCGTGGTGCTACTCGTTCTTCTGGAGCGTTCTTCCCATCCTTGGATGGTCGAGCTATGTTCAGGAAGGAGTTGGAACCAGCTGCTCTGTAGATTGGAAGTCAGGAGGAATGGAGAATGTTTCCTACGCCGCATGCTTGACTCTCTCTTGCTTTGTAGTTCCGGTTGCTATCATCGTCTTCTGTTTCTACAAGTTGAACAGAACGGTTCAAAAGTTGAGCGAGCGAGCACGGGTACACTGGGGAGAGAACTCCATTGCTACCCAAGAAACTATCGCGGCCGAGAACAAAATGACCCGGATAGCTTTTGTCATGACAACGGCTTTTATAATTGCTTGGACGCCGTACGCGGTCACCTCAACTGTAGCAATGTTCAATCCAAATCTGATCAGCGATATAGGCGCGTCGATCCCAGCCTATTTCGCCAAATTTTCAGCGTGCTATAATCCTTTCATTTACTTGTTTATGTATAGGAAACTTCGGAAAGCCATGAAGAAAGTGCTCTACTGTGGGAGCGGGACATAAATTCACCCGATTAGAGACAATGGATGAAAAGATCAAATATGACCTCTTCGTTTCCCGCCAAAAAAAATCCTAATATGGAGAAACCGCTCGAAGAGAACGAACATGATGTGATCTGCCGAAATACAAATTTAGGTGAAGATATGATCCAGGGGCACCCAACGAGAATATAGTTCAAAACCACTTAAACATAGCATTGTTAAACGTATTTTAGTATTTAAACGGTAGATATAGGCACATCTTGATCCCCTAAAAATTTTTCATCTGTTCGGATTCCCTAGCTGAAAGTTTGGTGATCCGAAAAATTGTAGGGATCAAAACTGGCCTTTTCGAAAATTTCAGCCAGAAAATAGGCTCCAGAAAATTCTAGGTGACGTTTTTAGGGTAAAAATCCGTTAAAAATGGGCAATTATACCAGTTTTTTGGTGTTCGAAAACCCTAGGAGAGGTAGGCAAGCAAGAAATTTTACAACAAATGTTCCGAAAATTCTAGATCTGAAATCGTCTTCCGAACAGATATTTTCCCAAAATTGACGTTGGATGCCCCTGATGATTGTAGCAGTGGTAATTGCAATTCGGCCTCAACGGGATTCGAACCATGGCCATTGTTCCTGATATCACCAATCAATGGTGTCTTAATACAGACAGTGGCCGGACTGATTAGTGGAGTTGTATTTCTAGACCTTTTAAGAACGCCTTTGATAGAGACGATATAGTAGATCACGAGCTTCTACTGACAAAATTGGAGTATATTGGAGTTCGTGGCCGCCCGTTATTGGAATGGTTTAAATCCTATCACGTTGTATATATAAACGGAGTACTCTCTGAGAAATCCATTTTAAAATGTGGTGTTCCAAAGGGTTCAATACTTTGGCCACTTTTATTTCTAATAAATATAAATGATCTTAGTAATATAATGGATTATGCTTGCTGCCACATGAATGTACGCGGATGATACTAATTTGAATTTCACTGCTTTCAGATTCCCTGAACTACATAGATTTCCGATACCTCCAAAACTGGCTGATAGCAAACAGGCTAAGTTTAAAAACGGAATACTGTACACATGTTAGTTGGTTCAAGCCAAAGAATAACGACTCTTACACAAGGGTAAGGGCTCGATCTTTCTATAACCAGAATTTTGCTTTAAAAGTGTAGGCAGTAGCAAATGCCAGTGGTTGTAGAAATTGGCCAGTTTTTTACATTGGGGTTCTTATATTACTAGTGTCTCAAAAAAGTATCTCCTGGTAATTAGGAGTCTTAAACACGTTTAGGTCTTTTGTTTCAGTTTCAAATTTGACGAGTGTTTATCAGTCAATTGTTAAACCATGCTTTGATTATTGCAGTATTGCAGTATTGTGTGGTTCGGTCTGGCACCCAGTGGATTCTTATACATGCTGTTACAAATAAATGCCCGAGGAAACTTCTTTAAAGTCATAAATACTCAAACTCTACCTGTTCTATTAGGATTGGAAATAGTCAAACACAACTTTTTCAATACACTAGAGTTGTGCGTCAAGGCTGCATTTTAAATCCTCTTCTCTTTAACCTATACGTTAATCGTTTAGTTTTTTCATTCAACAATATTTTATCTGATCCGTTTGTGCTACCAAATGGCTAGACTGAATTTCATCCGATTACTTCGAATCGTTATTACTCCCTCAGAGAGGAGAAAACGACTCGAAGCAATCGGATGAATTTCAGGCTACCAAATGGCACCTTTTTACCGATACGGCGGCATATTGAATTAATTCGATTTAAGGAGTATTATAGGATGCTCAGGGGGCATGAGCACATTTCGTTTGTATTTTCGACCTCTTTTCGAGACATTTTTTCTTAAAGTTTTGTTAGAATAAGATTCTAATTGGGAAAAAAGATCCTTGTGCTGTGTTTGGATGTAATAATGATCGCCTTTTTCCCGAGAAATATACAATGAAAGACCATATTTCTAATACTAAACTAGAAAAAGGAGTTCTCCACCGAGGCCGACGAAACTCCTCGTCGCACGCGAGACAAAACGTCCGGTACCCAGTGTAACGTCTGAGAAACAAGCACATAAATTCCATACTGATGACGTGTTACTACCCAGATCTGGGTAGTGCTTCTGATTGGTTGAAAATTTGCTTCATCTAATCAGAAGCACTATACCATAACTGGGAAGTGGCAGGTCATAAGTATGGAATTTCTGCGCTTGTTCCTTAGACGTAATTTTCCGCGGGGAAACCACCGGTGGCATGGAGAAATGTCGGCTGTTCGGAGTTTGGGCTACTATACCGTAAAATTCCGAAAATAAGCCCCTCCATGTATAAGCCCCCCAAACTCGTAACGCAAAACACCCTCCGTTAAATCGCCCCTCCAAATATAAGCCTCTCCGGGGGCTTGTACTTGGAAATTGCCCTCAAATTCAAGGTAAAACAAAGAAAAGGGGCAAATTTCCTTCTAAGAATAAGGAGAGCCCAATCGATTTTGAAACGCAAATTTCCCTCCGTACATAAGTCCCTCCAAAAATAAGCCCCTCGAAAAGAGCCTTTGAAAAATATAAGCCCCGGGGCTTATTTCCGGAATTTTACGTTATGTCTTGTCTTGCCGAAGAGGTCTACTCAAAGACCTGCAGTGAGGGTCCCCAATGGGGTTCTTCAATCTCGTGATCCCGACCCAAAATGGCCGGCCTTCCCTCACAGCTAATAAACGATCAGCCCTTATATAATGCAGAATTGTATACAGCTATTTCGAGATAGGTGTCGGAAAAATTGTGCACGCGACAATCGCGAAAGGCAATATGGGATATGATCAATACACTGTTCCTGGCACTGTAGCTGTCGAAGCTACTTTAGTTCCGTTCCTTTAGCACTAGCAAACATACGTCCATGGCCTCTCGTGCCATTCCTTCAAATCTCGTTGAAGAACAGTAAACTCAGAACCGGCCACAATACCTTTCGTGATTGTCGCTTGCATTGTTTCCAACAACCTTTCCTCGAAATAGCTGTAGCCAATATCAGGGATCTAAAAAGTGAAAAACGCGATAGTGGCTGGAAACTGTACCATCTTTGGGAGCGCTCGCATTTACTGGTATTCAATACCGTGACGTAATCGTTTTCAAAACCCTCCGGCGTTTTCATCCATCTATTATGAGTGCAGCAAAACGGCGTTTTCAAAAATCTCTACTCTGGAGGAGGTTTTTGAAAAGATGCTTTTTCGGTGACAGCTTTCACCCGGATACATGTGGAAGACAGGCCAAACCGGATATAAAAAAATTTCCGTTCTCAAACAAAAAAAAGAAAACCTATCCATGTGGACGTAGTCTCCTTCGCAGCCGTTATTAGGGTCGTCACGCAACGCTCCTCCCTACTAACGGCCGTTAGTAGGGAGGAGCGTTGCGTGACGACCCTAATAACGGCTGCGAAGGAGAGTAGTGTGGACGAGGCCCTGCCCGATAGTGACCTCAAGGAAATGACCTAAAAATTATGAGTCACCTGCAAAATTGCTTATAAAACCCTATTAGTTTTTTGACCTTTGAGTTTCAGCTTTGGTTTTATATGTTAAGCCCCGTGCAAACGGACGCAACATTGTTGACCAACAACTCCAAACATGGTTGGATGTAACATGTTGCGTTCGTCTTCACACACCTTGTTGCATGTTGTTCGGAGTTGTCAGTGCGCAAATCTGAAACCGGTCAAACTTCTAGCTACGGGCAAACGGACGCAACAACTTCTAACATTGTTGGGACAACAATGTTGGAAGTTTTTGCGTCCGTTTGCTCGTAGTTTTATGGCTTTATCTTTTGTTCAAATTGTATTTTTCCCTTTGTTTTTAACTAATTATTATACACTGTACCATACCCAAAAACAAAGGGAAATAAAAATTAAACGAAGGCTAAAATTGAACTACAACACTTTCGGAATTTGTCGGTGGGGATATGTCGCTGAGACTCGGGAACCTTGCGCCTACATCAGACTTAATTCAGCTAAAATTTGCTACCCTATATATTCAAGTAGATTAAGGCCCGGTTCTTTACAGATTTCTCAGAATTTTAAAGGGGGCTGGTTTACGTTATTTTTTTTTTGATGCCCCACGTCTTATATATTAAGGCTAACCATAATTAAGAAATCCTCAAATTTCATTTTAAAAATTGATTATAACTGCATCACGTGACCAGCCACGCCCTGTTTTATCTAGAAATCCTTTTGGCCGAAATGCCCAGTATGTAGAAAGCAAACCGTTTTCCTTTTGTAGGTCCAAACAGTGGTTACTGATAGTCTTCTTGTAAAAAAGGCTGGAATGAGACGAAGACATTTAACGTCTTTCTCCTAACGAAAATTTTAGTCAGAGGAGAACTGGCACGAGTCAATGAACAGCAATTGTACATACAATTTGTAAAGATTCCAACCATTCCGAGCTGATTTCGTAGACACTTTGTAGGGTCAAAGTTTTGATTAGGAGATATTGGGGCTACACATTCAGTAAGTGGTGGGCATCGTTGGTTGCAACTTTCGAACGGAAGGGGGCGTGGTCAATCACGTGACTTGGTACTGGATTTCCTTTTTCAAGTGTTTTTTTTTTCAGGTTAGTTTACTTTACCATCTATTATTCCTGGAGGATGTCTTTAACAATGGTTTTTGGAAAATTTGCCTAAATCTACTTGAGCAACAAGAACTCCTTCAAAAACAGCAAAACAACAATTTTGCTGGTACATCACATTTCCTTCGAACATTTCTTCTCCGTCAATGTAAGTTTACGACGTGAAAATGCCAATGTTTACTTTTATTTTAATGGAGAACGAAAGCAAGCTATCGATGAAACTATGTAATTTTCCTCTTTTTGAACTTGGATATGGTTGCCAGGAATTCACTTGCATGAGATTCCACCTTCATTTGAGGTGAGTTCGAAAAATCGCGATAAAAATGGAAAGAACGCGAATTCACCTGACGTTTTCGCAGCCGGCAGTAGTAGTCCTCGGATCTTAAAGTCCCCATTTTAAAATTAAAAGCTGCTCAAGGGCTTTAATGGCTACTCGTGGAGCACTGTAAAAGCCGCAGAATTGAGTGCTAAATTACAGTATGCTAAAGAGCTGATAAAATCTCAAGAAATCGCAATTAGATAAATCCTTAATCGGTTACATTAACTTAAATTGACATTAAGAATAGAGCAACCCTAGGCCAGTTGCTTTCAGCGGTGTCTTTTGAGAAACGAGTGGTTTAGACAACATGCTGCTTTTTATATGCAAAGACTGTATTAATGTGATATTCTCCGCTAGTAGATAGATTTTTCGTTGTGACAGATTCAATTCTATGATAATGCCAAAAATCGAATCTATCTGAGCTACCACCCAAGACTGATTCATCATAAAAAAAGGTTTCAATTATTCTGAAAAGTGCCGCTCGATCCGTTTGTTTATCTAATCACATCAGGTTTGACTGAAAATTCTTCCTTTTTCTCAGGAAGGAAGCAAGTCCTTGAATTGTAAGCAAGTCTTAACAGACCAATCAGACCAATCACTCCAAGGACAAAATGATTACAAGTTTTAAATGTTTTTTTGTTCGGCTAGCCTTTGCCACAGTGAATCATCTTCATGCTATACAAATGGACCGAATTCGAATGCAAATTTATCCGTCTTTCCTAAAGCCGTGCGGAAATTATTTTCTGAAGTCATTTCGACATCGTCGTGTTGAAGTAGAGTCAATCGACATCACCTGTCTCGATTCGCTTCCAGTGTTTCTCAAGACGTTTTTTTTTTTTTTTGCGTTTCTTGATATGGCACTGCAAAGCAGCTAAATGCACAGGCACGGGTAAGATTGATCGGGAAGAAATAGTTTTAAAACGAATTTTAAGCACCTGATGATTTTGAAAACATGCAGTGGCTGACATTTAACAGCAAGTAAGTACTAATCAAAGCACGAGTTTATTTTTTGTAGGCTTTTTTAGCCTAAAGTTTCACTTAATGTTAGTGCACCGCTGAGTCCGTTTTATCAGCAGCGTCTCAGACTAGATTGAAATTAAACTACTACTTTTCCTAGGCTTCGCATATGGGAAGACAGGTTCCTAGTCACATCCATGAAAGAATCTTTTCGGCAGGGTAGTGAATGGGAGTACTTATGTGTGAAAAAAAAATTTGGTATCGCTTGTGCGAGAGAGCAAGCTCTCGATTTGGGGATATCGTGAGAGGTCTATCGCGAAATAAAAAGCTTGTTGGAAGGCTACAGTGGTCCTTTAAAGGTTTCTTCTTTTCCTTCTTCTTCTTTGTTGCGCGGTTTTGCGGCTAGTTGTCTGCGGTCGCACGGCAGCTTGCTGGCTTAAGTTTCAAACATGCTCCGTAAAAGGGGACTTCACTCATAGATACTCTTGTTCCTTGGCCATTGTATGTTCATAAGAAATAAAATTCAACTAGCGGTGATAAACAAAAGGAAAGAACGCATAGCGGAATTAAAAAATAAAACTTTTAATTAACTTGACGTTTCGTATACTTCAACAAAGATGCATTTTAAAACTTCAAGACGAAGAGATATTTTCCATGAATAATCGTTTTAATTATACCAATTCACAATATTTTCAACCTCACTTCCGCGGTTAGAATTTCTTTAAAACGATTGCCTGTTTCTTGGCAGTTTTACAATATGAATGGGTGTTCTTGTACTTTCAAATATGCCTCAAGTGCAAAAAACATTTAC